TATCGAAAGTTCTTGAAATCATACTCGCTAAAAGACTTCTGGTTTGTTTCTGGGCTAAACAGGCCTACAAGCTACACGATGGTTCGGTGTATTTTGGGTTCCTTCCCAGCCATTACGATTCCCGCCTACAGCTTCACAAGAGGTCGTTCGTGGCTGAACTTTTATTGCAGAGCTTTTCGAAGGATAACTATACAAGCTAATATGTTCCTGTAAGCCCTGACAAATTCCATTGTTTTGGTGAGTTTTTATCTTCAGTGAAAAGAGAGGTATTTGGGGAATGAGTTCTTCCGGTCGTTTTGTTTCTTTTGACGCCGCAATAAAACTTAGGGGTTTGAAATAGTCGTAAAAAAGGTAAACAAGTCTATCAACACAACTGCTGTTGAAAAAGTTCACAAAACAGTGAAGCGGCTGGCTCTGCTTCATTATTTTCTGTTGTGATGCGTGGTAGTGAATCATCGGGTGTGATGATCTATGCCGAATGTTTGGGTAGGTGAGAGTTCTCTGAGCGCCAAGTCCTGGTTCACGATAAAGCAGCCAGAATTGTTCATTCATGTGATGATGATGATGCCATGGATGCCTCATGACGATGAGGAAACCTGGTTGTTAAAAACGAGTATGTGTCAAGAGAATCGTAATTCTTGAGCCTCGCGCGCGACGTCGCGCCCGCTAATGACGACGATTTGGGTGGTATTGGTCGAGAGTAGACAATGTATGACCAAAAATAGACACAATTGCCTACCATGTACCCTGCCCTTGTCTGCATGGAATCCGATGCTCCAGTCGAAAGAGTAGTGCAAGTCAAGGAAACACCGCGCAAATTCGCGTGACGAAGGGGCAGTTTACGCTTCTCCTACCCGTCTCCCGTTTAAAACAATCCCTGACCACTGTCGCCTCATAAGTGACCTCGAAAACTTACATTTTAACTTCACCGTCAGCCACCTTACGATGTGGTTAAAATTCCGTAGGTTCTCCAGTCCTACGAGGGAAATTTGTCACTTCGTTCTGCAAGGTGTATTGCTGCGGAATGATGTTTCGTTTGGAGATTGAAAGCACCTCTTGCGGGAGACCGCAGCACTTTGCATTCGTCAGTATTGCGAAAACAGGCTACTGAAAGACGGATGAATTTGTGATGGTTGTAATGGTAATGAAACGCCAGAAATTTCTGCAAAATCTTGTGCTATTTCCATGTCCTACAGGAGAGGAGAGCGTGGTCTTCAATCGGACCGTTGAGCCGCGTTTTCTTTTCTTTTTTATTTGTTTATTATCTGTTCAGGACCTGTAACTTCCTTGGTTACATCACTATTCACGCCTCATGTTCTCTTCTTTTTTTCTAACACGAGCGAGGTTTCAGGGATGAGAATATAATCAAAAACGGTTGCCAGGTATCTGGCTTGTTCGCCTAGCTAAAGAGAATAGGCGACCCTTGAGTGTTGCTCAATGAACCATTCATGCATAAATATAGCTGGCCGATGGCTCGACAGTTTAAGAGCTCTATGGAATCTTCTTTGTGATTCACGGTGTTCACAAGTACCCGCTTGCCGCATACAAAGTGATGCACGTTATCTTCTTGCAACAACAGATGTCTGCTTCGTCATGTGCCTTCGCCTATATAAAGCCTGTATCTTCCCAAATAGATTTTTGTTACCGGCTTAGCGCAACATAAACAGTGTCTCCGAGTAGTCTATAAATCTTTCTTATGCGAACTGGATATGACTTCGAACAGATCGTTAGGCTATTTTTTTTAGCTCCCCTGCGATTGTCTAAGTAAAGAATTGTGCTTGAGGCATAATAGTGTGAGTTAAAGCGTCCGCAGTAATGCGATCGCACACGACATCGCGCGGGGTCTAGTAATCGACCGTTTGAGCCGCGTTTTGCTTTTCTTTTTTTTTATGTTTATTATCTGTTCAGGACCTGTAACTTCCTTGGTTACATCACTATTCACGCCTCATGTTCTCTTCTTTTTTTCTAACACGAGCGAGGTTTCAGGGATGAGAATATAATCAAAAACGGTTGCCAGGTATCTGGCTTGTTCGCCTAGCTAAAGAGAATAGGCGACCCTTGAGTGTTGCTCAATGAACCATTCATGCATAAATATAGCTGGCCGATGGCTCGACAGTTTAAGAGCTCTATGGAATCTTCTTTGTGATTCACGGTGTTCACAAGTACCCGCTTGCCGCATACAAAGTGATGCACGTTATCTTCTTGCAACAACAGATGTCTGCTTCGTCATGTGCCTTCGCCTATATAAAGCCTGTATCTTCCCAAATAGATTTTTGCTTACCGAGCTAGCTGGCAACATAAACCTAGTTCTTCGAGTATTAATATAATCTTTTCTTAATGCGAACTGGATATGACTTCGAACAGATGTTAGGCTATTTTTGTTTAGCTCGCCTGGATTGTCTAGTAAAGAAGTGCTTGAGGATTAATAGTGTGAGTAAAGGTGCAGTAATGCACGACCACGACTATCGCGTAAGCTACCGTAGCCGCTTAATAAAAAAATTGTGATTAAAAGAAGGACATTAGGCAGATTCTTCGAGTTCTTGAAACACCTTTCTCGAATCCCGCGAAGCTCCTCCTCACGGACATGAAGAAAATTTTATCCCCGAGCTTGTGTAATATGAAGGCCTCATATAGCTCCTGTACTGTCATACTGAATGATTGATGATTGTATGGTTGAAATAGCACCTTGAATTTCTTCTTCTTCTGCTCGAGCTGCCTTTCAGCGCTGATGCGATGAGAAAATCAGTTTCTGTTCCAAGAAATCGCATCATTTTAACGCTAGGAATTCAAAGTTAACATTCCGAATGAAAGCAGAGGAAAAGATATATTCAACTGT